CTTTAAGCATTCGATGATTTTATTTCAATTTTAAATATTTTTTTTTTTTTAATTTTTAATATTTAGTTTTTCATAATAAGTTTGCTCCCCTTCGAAAATAAGGTTGGTTCCGCCCCTGATTATGGCCCAATTGCATAATAAATCAAATCTTTATATGTTCTAATATTTTTTTCCTTAACTATGTTGGAACTTGTTGACTGACCGCATTGAGAGTCGAAATATATCTCATACTCATCAAGTGAAGTCTAAAATTAATAATTTAGCATGAATCATCTACGATATAAATCAACAGTAACCTCATCTAGTATGATGTACCCTTGATATTTGTGCATTGCATAAGGACAACGAAACCTCCCTTCTGATATAAAGGAAGGTAGTTGACAAACATCCTTGATGAAAAATTTACTTCATTAAAGAATTCATCTATTAATATCTTACATCCAGATAACAGTAGATTGTACATTCAATTTTTTTGATTTCGAATATCTATATCATATGTGATCTAAAAAGTCCTACAAATGAATTTCAATGATCATCATATTGTTTTGTTTATACAAAAATTAAATTAATTTTCTATCAAATTTAAAACACCATAGAAAAAAAATTTGTATGAAGGGTATATTATCAATCATTATTTTATTTTTCAAAATTATGACATTTTTTTTTTCTAAAATTTTTGAAGCTTTCTTCTATGTCTCCAATTCATCTTTTTCTTTCTGATTTCCTTCATCAAATTATAACCTATGATCTCTCTTGTTAGTTCACTATACCGCTAACCTTTCTTCAGTAAAAAAAAAATTTATATGAAAATGAATCGTAGTATTTTATATGAAAATGAATCGTAGTCCTTCTCCTATTCATAAATGAAGGTGACTTGTGCATGAAGATCGAACACATAGCTTAGATTTACAAGAAAGTGCCAATAAAGATGACCTAAATTAATAAAATTTTGCATGCTTGGATACTTTTAAAGTATGCAAAGGCTTACATGATTTTGCTTAAATATTATTTGTCATATCATTCATTGTTGATATACATTCAAATATATATATGATAAAGAGAATAAAAATATTAATTTGTTATTTTATAATTAATAGCAATTTTATTTAATATTAAAAGTGTAATTTTCAATGCTAAATTAATCACTATCTTTTATTATAAAATATAAGTATATAAATATTAAATATATGTATTTAAATATATGATACTTAACAATGAAAATTATAAATATTAAATAAATCATATGCTGATAGTATACTTGTTCCTTTTATGCTTCATTATTTATGCCCTTTAATTGCATTAAAATTTTTTAAAACAATTTATCTTATGCACATATCTTATCACACATACATGCATCCAAAAAATCAGAACTGCTAATTTATTGATGTTAATTCTCTAAATCCGATTATACTTGATTGCATATTTTTGGTTAAATGGCTATGGCCATTTACACGCTATAAGATCCTTGTAAATATGCACATATATACAAATACGCATGCCACATATATGTATTTATCATGATGTAATGATTATAATAATACATGTCTATAGCTATGCTGTAATGTGATGTGATCGGAGCTATGACTTCATTATCTTGTTTGTTGACATCTGTTTTGCAAGGATGCTAGGCAGCTAGGTGATTAGGGATTTAGGCTTCGTTTGGGATGGCTTTCTTATTGCTTCTCAAAACAGTTTTTTAGTATAAAAATTAAAATTTTTGTACTAGAAAATTATTTTTTAAGAAGCAACAAGAAGGTCGCCCCAAACGAAGCCTTAGACTCCCTTTTTTATTGCTTTATAATACATTGATTACTCTGTGATACTGTGTTTCATATTGCCTATACTATTTGTGATGACGATTAGACTCCTGAGATCTCACATCACTCATTGACAAGTCAAATTCATTCAAAATAAAAGGGTGCGTCTACCTCTTATCTATTGAGTTTGACCCACTTCTAATTTATATATGTAACTAGGTTCACATCACTCAATCACAAGCCAAAATCCTGACCATGCAGGGTGTAAATACAATATTTTTAGCTCATGATTATTGATATGATCATATTGTAAGTCTTAATGCTGGGGTTTCTTCTACGGTCTAGAAGACTCCCAATCCTAAGTGTCTAGAGCTTCTCCCAAGCTTCTCCCTTCTTATGATTGTGGAGTACAAGTCCCATCTATCAGCCTAGGATGAAGCTCCCCTTACATATCTAGATCTAAGGTACAATAGGGTGATGCAACTCATTGGTACTGATAAGGATTTTAATGGTTAGAGAAGTCTTATCATCTTTTCTAACTAAGTAGACTAAGAGCTACAACAACTCTGGAAGATAAACAACCATGGGATCTTGATCAAGGCCGTCCTCCCATCTCTTTGGTTAGTATGCCCTTCCCTTTGGTTTAATCAGCCTGTTATCTAAAATAGATCCCTCCCTTAGGACAATTCTCTCTCTGCATTAAGATTTGAGTTATTCATCATACACAACCTTCCATGCAGGGATATAGATGATTCATAATCTCTCGAAGGAAAAAAAAAATATAAATTATTTAATTTTAGGTGCACTATGCTTGCCTTATTTAATTAATATGAATTTTCATGATTTTAAAAGTTTTAAATTTATTTTTATTTCTATTAATTTCTTTCTCTTTACATTATGACAATTGATCAATCTATATAATAGTATTCAATTGGCTCTTAAATCTTTTCAAAATTATCTACGCTTGAAAAGTGTATTTAAGTAGAATCTTATTTTGTACTTTTGCATGAATTTTTCTTAATATCATCATGAAAATATCTATACTTCAAATCTTCTTGCTCTTGTGCATGTATGTCAAACTAGGGAGGAATCTTGTAGACTTCGGCTTCAATTTAGCGTCTTCTTTCAATCTGGTTAAATGATAAAAAAGCAGCCAACAAAGCATTTTTTAAAAAGTTGTTTGGATGAAACAACTTCACAGCTTTTTCTTCATTTTCTCAAAATTTGATTTAAAAGAGCTGTTTTTTGAGAAATTAGAATAGAAACTTTGCTCGAAAAGCAGGCTTTAAAATGTTCTGATAGAAAAAGCAGAAATTTTTAAGCCATACCAAACGAGCCGTTCTCACAAAAGGATTCTCTGTTCCACATATCAGCAATGGAAAAACTACGACAAATTGGGGAAGCCATAGGAAGTCTAAGAGCTTTCATGGCGTTCCGAGAAGAGATACAGATTAACCGAAGGCAGTGCTGCTTGCTCTTTGATGCTTTCAGCCTTGCCTTCGATGTCATTACCCAAGAGCTAAGGCAGCACCTGAGATTTGATGAAAATCAAACAAATTGGCATGCACTTGAAAACCCAATGAAGGAACTCCACAAGGTGATCAAAGAGGGTGAGTACTATGTTAAGCAATGCTTAGAACCTAAAGACTGGTGGGCAAAGGCCATTAGCCTTAACTTGAATACAGACTGTGTTGAATTCCACCTGCACAACTTGTTGTGGTGCTTCACTGTTGTTCTTGAAGCCATTGAGAATGCAGGAGAAATTAGCGGCCAAGACCTTGAAACCATTCAGCTGAAAAGAATTGTACTCTTAAAGAAGTACGAGCATGCGTGGATGGAACGAAAGCTCTTCTTTCATCGCTTCGCGGAGCATTACTTACTTTCTCAGGAGATGTGCAATTCATTTAGCAGTGTTTGGAAGGAAGACAGGTGGTTACTCACTGAGCTAATATCTGAGAAGAAGATCTCAATGACATTAACAAAGCATGAAAGCCAGCTTGCTGAGCTTGTATTGGCTCCAAGAGATGAGTTGCATTCCACCTCGGTACTTGCGGGATCAAAGGACTTCCAAGTGAGGAGAAGATTAGGCGATGGGGGGCAGTATAAGGAGGTGCAATGGATGGGTGAATCATTCGCTCTTCGTCACTGCTTTTGTGATTCCAATTCCATGTCTGCTGAGATCTCTCTTCTTACATCAGTCATGCACCCCAATGTTTTGAACTATATGTATGTTTTCTCAGATGATGAGAGGAAGGAGCATTTTGTTCTTATGGAGCTCATGAACAAGGACCTGGGTAGATACATAAAGGAAATTAGCTCTGCAAGAAGAAGAGTTCCCTTCCCTCTACTTGTTGCAGTAGACATTATGATTCAAATTGCAAGAGGCATGGAGTATTTGCATTCAAAGAAGCTGTATCATGGAGATCTAAACCCGTCAAATATTCTGGTGAGGTCAAGAAGCCACTCATCAGATGGCTACTTGCATGTTAAAATTACTGGATTCGGGCAATCAGGCACTAAAAGCTGGAAGCAATCATCGCAATCATCAAACCAAACAGATAAGTATCATTGCATTTGGTATGCACCTGAGGTACTGGCAGAACAAGAACGGTCGCCGCGCTCGCAATCTGCAAAGTTCACAGAGAAGGCTGATGTTTACAGCTTTGCAATGATTTGTTTTGAGCTGCTAGCCGGAAAAATCCCATTTGAGGATGATCACCTGCAAGGGGATAGGATGAGCAGGAACATAAGAGCAGGAGAGAGGCCATTGTTCCCTTCTCAATCTCCAAAGTACCTCACCAATCTAACCAAGAAATGCTGGCATGACGATCCATCGCAGCGACCAAGCTTTTCATCCATATGTCGTGTGCTTCGTTACACAAAAAGGTTCCTCATCATGCACCCAGATCACAACCAGCCAGACTTGCCAAGTCCCCCTGCCGATTACCTCGATATCGAAATGTGCCTATTAAATAAATTCAAGGTGTGGACGACTGTAGAAGCATCAAAGGTTTCAGAGATCCCATTCCAGATGTTTTGTTACAGAGTTTTGGAGAGGGAGAGGGATAAGACCAGTATGAACCAAACGGAGAGGTGCTTAGATTCAGAAAGTGACCAAACATCTGTTTGTGGAGATGAGATTGGACTGCAAATGATGGTTCAGGGGAAGGCTTTCTCTAACTCTGGTGCTCTACCAAGATCGCAATCTCAACCAGAAATTCTTAAGAAGTTATCTGGGAAGCTGGATATGAAGGCCAGCAAGCTATCAGGTAACTTTTTCCTGGATTTATACCAAAGCCAATTCAATCTATATTGTTATGATGGCCTATCAAAGGTTTAGAATGGGAATAGTTTTGATAGCTTGGAATATCAAAGGTTTAGCATATTTTGTTCTTTTCCGAAGATTTTTTAAATTATTTTTCTACTAAGGAGAGCTTTCTAAATGGAAAAAATGCTGAGATTCTTGCAACGAATGCCAAAATCCCCAAAATAAATTAGCTCTTTAAATAAAATACATTAAAGATAAACACATTGGAAAAATTTTGAATCCATGAACATTTAAAAGATAAAAACTATGTTTTATGATTATATGCAATAAAATCTGTCAAAACTTATAGGAGAAAATGGATGTCACCATATTTAACAAAGGAATATATATATATATATATATGAAAGTGTAGATGCTTAAGTGTTTAAAGAGGTGGATGTCAAAAAGACAAATCATATTTTAAATAAAAAGTAGATTACGGCTTCGTTTGGGACAATTTTCTTTCTGTTTCTCAAAGCAACTTTTTAGTACAAAATAAAAAAAAAATTGTACTAAAAAGCTGCCTTAAGAAGTAGAAAGAAAGCCGTTCCAATCGAAGCCTACATTTCTTTTTGAATCCACCAGCAGATTTCCTTACACAAAAAAATAGAACTTCCTATAAACTCTTTTTACTAGTTGCATTTTTACTAAATGTTAGCAGAGAAATAAGCATTCACATGCAGTGAAACCTTATTACTATTGAGCTGTAAGCCAAAAAAAAGAAATAAAGAGCTCATTTTGGCCAAAAAACTTTTCTTCTCCTTTGATTGTTGAATCCATAACTTCAAAGAGAGAGGGGAAAAAAAAAAAAAAACTCATTTGCTCTTTTATTTTGGCAGCACAGAAGAAGAAAGCGAAAGCAACAAATCAACCTCAACTTCTGATTCGTGAACATCATCTTAGGAAAAATTCTGGAAGTCCGTTGGATCCAGCAATGAGCCCCTCTCCAAGAAGCTTACGAGGCCATGAATCAGATTCTGGCAGAGCTTCAAATAAGTATTTTTCTTCTATCTAACAAACTTGCAGCAAAAGTGAATTCTGATAGAGCTCTTTGCTGCCACAATCTCTCTATTTTTCTGATCCTTACCAGAATTTTATTTCCTCTTAGTCCTATTTCTCCTTTCACTTTTGACCAACAGACACTGAAGCATTTAGTTTTTGCTTTTCATAAATGGAGGACTTTCCTGTCTCCAATCTGGCTTTACTTAGTATTTTTTTCAGCTTTTTAATATATTTGAGCTTCTGCAACATATGACGGATTACAGGCTCACAGTAGAATCATCTTGTCAGTGTTATAATAATGATTCAATTATCAGATTTGCTTAATATTTAGTATTATAATGTTATCTGATTATGAAGAAGATTTTGTTTATGGTTGGAAGAGCAAATGTGTCGGTGACTCCCCTGAGAAAATACTCTGTATTCTGTTTGATAATAATCAGTAACCTTCGCAAGAACTTTTTTTTTTCTGCAAGAACACATAGGCCTGTAATTGCTCAACTCTTCCTATAATTTCTGAAGTTTTGTGAAATATATAAGCTTATGGAATTCTAACCTTGCTTAAGATATATATTAGAAGAATTACATTTGTCTTTCATTTTAATCCTTTAACTAAAGCTTACTAATAAACAACGGAAAAAACATGATTGTAAATTTGTTGTCTTGTTGGAAGTCTCATATTGTAGGATTTTTACATTTTCTTGAAAATATGTAAATCCATATAATGAACGTATAACTCAAGCAAGTAATTAAAATCTTACAACTTAAATCAATGCAAGATAAAAGATAATAGTATGATATAAATCATATAAAGAAATGCATGTATCAATGTCTATATTGATTATTTATATCAATTTATCCTTCTACAGTTCACTTTTCAATCCATTACATCATCAGTCACGGTAAATTACTAACTAATACCGTTAAATAGGGCTTAGCATCACGACGCTCATCCCATCAGCGCCAAAGTGCTTTCAATCAAAATTTTCATATTTTTCAAAAAAAAATTTACATATTTGAGTTATTACAAGATCAAACAATTTGTGACCCAGCTGAAAAATTTTAGGGCCATCGCTATTCTAGAACAGGTCTTTAAGATCTTAAAGATTTCATGAGCAGTTTGGATACAGAGTTTAATATCCTAGGCATTACAACGCTATTTCTCATCCAGGAAATGAAGGGATTCAAAACCATACCGTCTACTTGATCGATCCATTGGCGATGCCTTATTTGTTCTTTGCGGAAAATGCAATCGCCATTGCCTGAACGTTGCAGGTCAAGATCTGTGACTTCAAAGAGATTACCAAGTTGTTGGAATGAAGCAAATAATACGGGCTAAGAGGATCATCGATGGTTACGCCCATTCCCGTGAGATGAGAGAAGAAAATTAAGGCCGCAGAGTAAATTGCGCAGTCTATCTTAGGCTTAGGCTTCGTTTGGGACGGCTTTTGAAAACGGAATTTTAGTATAAAAATTAAAAAAAATTTGTACTACAACTCTGTTTTAAAAAGCAATAAAAAAGCCGTCTCAAACGAAACCTTAAAGGTGCAAACAAGTCGACTTGTCTCATGTCGAGTGGCTCGTCAAGCTTAGTCCCGAGCTCTGCTGTCAAGCTGATGTGGAACATGATAGGGGTGATACGGGTTAAGCCACGGGTTAACCCACTCCAACACTCTTTCTGCCTTTCCCTAACAAACTACAGCCTCCACTACCATTTTTTGTTATTTGCTATTATCACTTTACTGTTTTTACACATGTGCTGCTTAGTGGTAGTACTTTAGTCTTTTACCAATTTAGAAAATACTTTAGTATAATACTAGTATTATGGGTTGTAGAGAAGACAGATGATATTATTACAATTTTCGGTATGAACTTCTTTTCCTAAATTCTCTGTTCTTCCCCTTCTCCTTCTTCCCTTCCTTCCTGTTTTTATTATTTTGTTGCAGGTTCAGTGTGTTCCATACACCAACTGGTATCGGAGCTCGGCTTCGAGCTTCAATGGCGGAAGGTAGCAAGCAGCCAGTTCCAGTCGACAACCGGAGCTTGGAAGCCTTATGGACGACACAGACGAGCATTTCACGGCAACTGGAAACACTCACTATTCGATCCCTCAGGACGAATCGACCAAACCCAACAATGGTGCGACCTGGAGCGCCGGCAACCATACCGGCACCCCACTTTCACCATCAACGACACACGCCGCCCACAGGACATGTTGCTTCGGATTCGGAATTCGAATTCGAAGCTACACAACCATTTGAAATGTCGGACTCAGCGGAAGAAGAACCCCCAGTGTATTATGATCGACCGAGGCGACCTCAGGTGCACCACCGCCAACAGGGGGAGTTCAAAGTCAAATTAGATATTCCTTTCTTCGATGGCAGATTGCACATAGAGGATTATCTTGACTGGGAACGGGCTGTTGAATCCTTCTTCGATTACATGGAAATAGCTCCCGATAAGCAAGCAAAGTATGTTGCCTGTCGCTTAAAAGCCGGAGCGGGAGCTTGGTGGATGCAAATGTTACAGACGCGACGTCGAGAAGGTAAAGGCCCAAATACAAGTTGGTATCAATTGAAAAGGCTGCTGCGAGGACACTTTCTGCCTACTTATTTCGAGCAAATGCTCTACCTACAATACCAACATTGCCTACAAGGCAATAGAACAGTGAACGAGTACACGGAAGAGTTCTACAGGCTAAGTGCTCAGAACAATTTGAACGAGATGGATAATCAACTCGTGGCAAGATACATTGGAGGGCTGAAAGAGATTATCCAGGACAAGCTTGATTTAAATGCAGTTTGGTCGCTGTCACAAGCCGTGAATTATGCTCTTAAAATCGAACTGCAGCTTAGTCGACATCCCAGAACCAATTACACTCATCGCTATTCCGCAGAGACTGTGACGCCTCAACCGATTTCTAATTCAATTAAGTCGCCAGCACTGCAATCGGGTGGAGCGGGAATTCTGGGAGCCGAACCAAAGCCTAACCTCCGCCCTCGCTTCCCGCCCAAGGATGCCAATCCGTAAACCAAACCAACAACGCTCAAATGTTACCGGTGTTTTCAACCCGGACATAAATCAAATGAGTGTCTAAATCGCCAACAACTCCAGCTGATTGACGCAGAACAAGAAGACAACCTAGAACACCCATCTACCGAAGCCGTGAATGAATTGGAGCCCGAATACCTCTAGGCTGATGAGGGAGAAACAGTTGCTTGTGTATTAGAGAAACTTCTCTTAGCCCCTCAACAGGCTAACAATTCGCAACGCCATTCGATCTTCCGCACTCATTGCACCATTGGCGACAAAGTCTGCAACATGTTGATTGATAGGGGATGCACTGAGAATATTGTGTCGCGAACTGTTGTAACGAAGCTGTAGTTGAAGACGACCAAGAATCCTCATCCGTATAAGATAAGTTGGGTCAAGAGAGGGGTTGAGATACTAGTCACTGAAATGTGCAGAATTACCTTTTCTTTTGGTAAAAACTATGTCTGTGAAGTACTGTGTGACGTCCTTGAAATGGACATTTGCCACATTATTTTGGGCCGGCCATGGCAGTTCGAGGTGGGGGCAATACATGACGGACGGAACAACACGTACTCCTTTGACTGGATGAATCGCAAGATTATATTGATGCCTCAAGCCCTCCCAGCTTCAGACAAGGATAACACTGATTCGTCCACCATGTACATTGTGTCCGGGACCAGCCTCATACATTCTTGGCAGGAAAATTCGATGATGTTTGCACTTATAGCTGAAGCCGCTGAACCCTGCCGAATTTCACCCAACATTCCTGCTACAGTCCAACCTATACTTCAACAATTTGCTGATGTATGGCCCGCTGAGTTACCGAATGCTCTACCACCTCTCCGAGATATACAACACCAAATCGATTTTCAGCCAGAAGCAACACTTCCTAATCTACCGCACTATAAAATGAGTCTGCAGGAGCATACGGCGTTGCAGAACATTGTTGATGAACTGCTGGCGAAGAAACTGATTCAACCAAGTTAAAGTCAGAGCGCCGTTCCCGCCTTACTGGTGCCAAAAAAAGACGGTAGTTGACGCCTATGTATTGATAGCCGGGCTATCAATAAAATCACAGTGAAGTATCGGTTTCCTGTGCCGCGTCTTGAGGACATGTTAGACAAACTCGTGGGGGCCGAAATCTTCTCCAAGCTCGATCTCAAAAGCGGCTACCATCAGATTCGTATCCAGCCGGGAGACGAATGGAAGATGGCATTCAAGACGCGAGATGGCTTATTTGAATGGCGTGTCATGCCGTTCGGATTATGCAATGCCCCGGCTACGTTCATGAGATTGATGAACGAAATTTTACGGCCAGCCTTGGGGAACTATTATGTTGTTTATTTCGACGACATTCTTGTGTTCAGTCCTACTCTTCAAGATCATTTGCAACATCTCACCTCTATTTTTGAAATTTTGAAAACTCACAAACTATACCTTAATTTGCCTAAATGCGAGTTTGCAACAGGATCGGTGCATTTTCTGGGTTTTATTATCTCCCGCAGAGGCATTCATATGGACGCTCAAAAGGTTGCCGCTATTACTCAATGGCCTACACCGCGCTCAACGACTGACGTGCGGAGTTTCATCGGCTTGGCGAACTTCTATCGCCGATTCATACGATGGTTCAGCCTCATTGTAGCACCGATTACCGACTGCCTCAAGGCAAAAGTGTTCCAGTGGGATTTAGCACAACAACAGAGCTTCGAAACGCTTAAGGCGGCGTTAAGTTCTGCTCCCTTCCTCGCTGTACCAGACTTCACCAAACCATTCCAAGTAGACACTGACTCTTCCTCTGTAGGCGTTGGAGCTGTTCTTTCATAGGAGGACCGACCAATTGAGTTTTTCAGCGAAAAACTGAGTCCAACCCGTCAGAATTGGTCAGCATATGAACATGAGTTGTATGCTGTTATTCGAGCTTTAAAACAGTGGGAGCACTATCTCCTACATCAAGATTTCATTCTTAATACTGATAATCAAGCTCTCCAGTTCATCAACAATCAGAAAACAGTGAACAAAATGCATGCTCGCTAGATAACATTCCTACAAAAATTCAGTTTTGTATTGCGCCATAAGTCGGGAGCACAAAACCGAGTCGCAGACGCTCTAAGTAGGCGAACCGTCTTACTCACACAGTTGCAAACATATATGCAGGGCATCCATGCGTTGCAGGAGTTGTACGCGACGGATAGCGACTTCGCCGATCCCTGGACCAATTTGATGCAAGAGCCCCTCCATCCGGTCAGTGACTTTTCTATTAGGCATGATTTCTTGTTTAAAGGAAATCAACTGTGTGTGTTGGAGTC